CTTTGAAGATAAAGGCCCTGCCGGATGTGAAAATGCAACAGCTGCAGCAAATGCAGATTTGCACTGATTGGGTTTAGTTAGGCTAGTTTTTAGATTTAAAATGCAATTATTTTTTTTTTTTTGTTAAAGCAGAAAATGATACCTAGATTTAATAAACATATTAAAGCATTAAAGAAATAATGGTATTTCTAGCAAGTTGAACCAAGTGGGTTCAGAGGAAGAAAAGGAAGTGGGGGGTGATTGAACTTTTTCTAAGCAGGAAAACAGAAGTGTGCATAAATGGGGGCAAAAGTAAAAGGAAACTAAAATATTTGTACAGTTTTTCTGCTTATTTTCAGCCGTTTCTTCCTCCACAGCACAAATCCGCGCACCTGCAGCAATAAAGTTTAAAGGCATTCTGTTATTCCTTAAAACCTAAATAGAGGACGCCAGGTTCTAATTTCATATAAGAGTGAATTTATATCAAGACACTAAGGGTGTTTCCACACCTGCAGCTTTAGGTTGACCTAAATTTAGTCCCGTTTGGGTCAGTTTGAAAGCACGATCGAGACTCTGAGGTGAGACTCCACCCTGCAAGTGTGTACATTGAGCTCTGTTACTTTTTTAGCAACTCTTCCAGGTTTCAGCTGGTTATCATGCAAGTGTGATGTTGTCTGAATACTGAAGCAATGTGGTTCCAACTGACAAAAAAAAAAAAAATCTGGTGTGAAAGCAACCATGCTAACTAAAAAAATGAAACGCTGTATAATTTTAACATTCAGAGCTGCACAAAGCGTGTGAAACGCTCCATATTATCATTAAATAACTTCGACTAATATGCAAACAAAAGGTTTCTTACTGTAGATCCGGCTTTTAACCACAGCTGTTGCATTCTTAAAGGTTTTTTGATGCATTAGACATTTGTTTACTAGTTTTAATGAGTACTGAGAATCATTGTGTTGTTGAATCACAGAGTTATTCAGTTCAACCCTCATTTGAATAATCTACCCATCATTGCAGCTAAATAGCTAAAACATTAAGTTCCAACTTAAAAACGTTTCCCAACAAGAGATCCTGTCTGTTATGTGGGCAGCTGCAAATGCGCTATTTTCTTTTATTCGTCTCCTTCTCTACACATTTCTAAGTTTAAAAAGTGACATTTGTGTTAAAGAAATAGTCGGTTCAACACAGGTTGGATCATCAAAGATTCCTGCATAAGAACTGTGCTAAAAAAAAAATCCAAGCGTGCTAATGAAATACACAGAAACTTCAAACTTAAATCTCTTGTTTTAACATCACAGTCTAATTGTCTAATTATTCCACCTTAAAAAACAAGTGTAAATAAAAACAAAACATTATTCCAGTGTCATAATTAGCTATTTCAATAGAGGATTTAAAAAGTAGTGTTTTTCTTAATAGCGATAATTCTGCCAACATTTTCTAATTTTCCTGATGTAATAATCTATGCTTAAATGCTGTGTAATTATTAGCTATAAGCAGAAATCACTGTGATACACAGAGGTAGGAATTCAAGACATCCTTCTCTATAACTAGCCTATGTAATGTGTTTAACAATATATAGTGAAATAATTTCCTCTGTTGAGTGGTTCTGCAAATATATATATATATATATATATATATATATATATATATATATATATATATATTTTCTTAAAATAGGTGCATTTGTTCTTTAATTGAGGAGGTAAGTGAGAAACGTTTCCAATGGAACAAGACAATTTCAACATAAAATAAGAAAAACAATTTCATTGTCTGATTTCAAGTGCATATTATCTAATTATTATAGTTTAAGAGTAAAAATACTTATTCCATTGACAGATGATGTTATTTACTTATTCAAATTAAGGGTAAAAACACTTGATTTAAGACATTTTACTTATTTCTAGATCGTTTTTTGCAGTGTTGTTCTGCAACTCTTTCACTAGATGCCATAAAAATTCAACTTTCGGTTACATTTGATAATCTAATCAACTTTAAACTTTTGATTTTCCTTTATTTATTAAGTGTATGGATGTCTACGGTGAGGTGTGATGCTCTGTACCTCCAGCTACTAAACCAGACTCTCCCAGCTGGATTGCAACTCCAAATCCTCCCAACTTCACTGGAGCAGAGTTCTCTTTTGAAGCCAAAAGCACACAATGAGGCTGCAAAAGAATAAAAGAAATGCATCAAAGAGGACGAACTGAAAGACAAGTCAAACTGCAGACAGGGTAAATGTGGACCAAGGGTCTGATGGATTAAAAAAAAAAGGATTTGTTGGACCAGCATTAAACCACATTTTCCTCAGCAGCTCTCTGCAATCTGCTGAGCGTTGCGTTTCTGGTTCTTTGCAGAAGTGCATGGTGTTTACGTGCTGTAATGCTTTGCACCTTAGTTTCATATGACAAACGAGAGAGAGAGAAGAAAAAAAAAAAACAGGCTTCTGCAGGGAACCATAATGTTAACACCATGCTTTTGAAACTGGGTGAAGTTTTCAGATGTTGATAATGGAGTGCATTAATTAAGCTGTTGGTTTGTTGCGTTTCGTTTCCATTTAATGTCTCCCTCTTAATGTCAGGCTGTGTTTTGTTTTAGCTCATTAGTTGAATTCAATTCACTACTTTGAAATACCATTAACTCATCGCTTAGGATACTTCTTTTTAAACAAAGTAGTTTTAACACTAATGTAAATGGATGCATTTCAACATAATATGCATAAACAGGTTTCAATGCATAAAAATTACCTTAAAAGTTAAAGTATATCCTTATACTATTTAAAAATATAGTTACATTAAGCAGCTTGTTTAGTTTGGCTTTTGCAATTTTTAAAGAACTGACCAGGCTGAGTCAGGTTTAAAGGCGCTCAGAGGGATTTATAGCCCCAGTTCTTATCACACCCCTCACTTTGCAGAAATGACCTCATCAGCCACCTTTGCTTTTCTAAAATAACCAAGGTGTAAAAAAGCTGTTAATTTCTTACTTTCCATATCTAAAATAAATCTTAAATCCTAACAATTCAGTCTTAAAAACTGAATGGCATATTTAGTTAGCCCAGCGTAGGGTACTTTTACTTTACGTTGCTGACAATTGTATGCAACTTTCAACAATCCAACTGCGATTATAATGTGAAGTTTGAGCATCTGGAAGCATTTAATCTGGCAGCAAACAAAACGCAATTTTCAATGATTTTGAAATCACAGAGGTCCTCAACTTTGATCATGTTACATTTATTAAGACTAAGAAACTGCATCTTTTGCACCTTTTTCCACATACTACCTCTTATTGCTTATATTTAAGCTAGGGATGCACGATATTGGGATTTTGGCCGATATCCGATATGCCGATATTTTTAAAATCACGTAGCCGATATCTATACCGATGTTAAAGCTGGACAAAAATAAGTAGTCATTGAAAATAGCAGTTTTGTTATCCATTTCTGACACTTTGAAAAATAATATACTCAAATATATTTTCATATACTGATATCAAATTGATTTTTAAAAACGCACTATCGATCTATTTTACTTTCAAAATCTCGTGAAATTTCATCGTTCTGTTACAAACTCTTGTGATATTTTGCAAATTCTTGTGAGATTTTGTTAGTAAAATAGGTCGATACCGCGTCAATATATCAACATATAAAAATATGGCAAAATTTCGTGAATTTTCAGGGGATTTCGTAGCATAACGATGACATATAGCAATATTTCATTAGTAAAAGAGATTGATATGGTGTTTTTAAAATGGCAATATATCAGCATATGAAGATATTGTGATATTTTAATGTATCAATATTTTTTCCCTCGTCTTTAAAAGTTTAGAAGTCTGTAAAAAAGAAGTTTTTGAGGAAGAAGAAGTAGTATTTTTTTTTTAGAAACTCAGAAGCTGATCAAATATCGGGTTAAATATCGGTGGGGTGGCCGATGTCCGATATTCAGTTTTAAGGCTGATACAGGCCGATACCGATAGGGGGCCGATTATATCGTGCATCCCTAATTTAAGCCACTGGTTAGGTTGCGTTAATATCTTTAAAGTGAGTTTGCTGCAAGAAAAAAAGAAGAAACTTCCAGATGGCAAGCAGATATATGGATGTAAGTAGAAATAAACACTTTTCAAAAAAGAGGCTACAGTAAAGTCTTGCAACAATGAAAGTTTGGACAAGAAAAATTTAAAAGGAAACGTAAAAAAACTGAATCCCTGGAGTGATACATCTACATGTGTTTGGTTTGTGAAAAAGAAAATCACAATTATTGAGTAAAAATAGTCGCAATTTGGATTTTTGTCAAAATCATTCAGCCCTACTGAACGAAATTTTACATTTCTGGTGTCACATGTATATTTTTTGTGCTTCATAAATTAAAATCAACCATATATTTAAACTAAAAAAAGCTAATTATAGTTCATAAATTCTAACCTTGGGGGAAAAAATAACCCAAAAATCAAATAAATTCTTAAAGCTTTAGTGCTCATTATGAGATTATTAGTTGTGTTGGTAGTATTTGTACATTAAAATATTGAATTTTGCTGTTGCTATCATTATCTGTGTGAAATTCCTCCACTACGTCCATCAGCAGGTGGATAATCCCTGCAAATCTCACTCTAGTTTGGTGCTTAAACAAATACAGATTAACGCAGAGTTGTTGGGTAAACAAGTTAGAACATTTGGAAATAGAGCAAGGCTAAACGCATCGGCGGGTCGCTATTATTAGGTCGTCAAAACTGCTTAAGCCTGCAAAGTGTTAATTTTACACAAAATTTAACAAGAAAAAAACACCTTAAAAAACTGTATCGTCACTTTGTGCAAACAGTCCCAAGCAGGATAATGTGGGATCATGATTACAGAAGGAAACTGATAGTTGATAATAGTTTTTAATTGATGTGTGAGGGAAAAATAGGTTTTCATGAAAATAATCCTTTGTCGGGCTGGTGGTGGGTTTTACTTCCTGCAACATACTGGGTAGCGCCGGTGGTGGGGGGAAATGCTTACAGATTCTGCAAGATACATAAACGAAGAATGAGTGAGAGAGGAAAAAGAGAAGCAGAGACAAGAGGACTGACACACACCGACTGATCAGATCCGTGACAGAGAAGGCAGCGAATACGCTGCTGGAGTGACTCATTTACAGACTGCAGATAAAGGTGAAGTCTGCCAGAACTTGGCTGCTTGGTCCAGTTGTGCGCCTGGGTTGACAACTGCTCTGCTGGGGGGGATTTACTGCACTTTGTTTTCCAAGAAAACCGATTCTCTACCAATCTGATGGAGGAAATCGCCCACCAGAACACTGCTGATCCACATCCATTCTGTGCCACCTTTAAACCACAGCTGAACTAAGCCTCGCTTCAAAGACGCATAGATGGTAAGTTCTTACCCTATAATAAGCGTTAACTTCAGCTTAAAATGCATTCAAACTTGGTGACTTTATTAGAAAGTTTAAATGCAGAGCAGGAGCTTCCAGTCTGCAGGGTGCTTTCCCTTTTTAATGTCAAAGATACCTTTTGGTTTACCGTATCGCAGGAGGATTACAGGGTAAACTTTGCGAATTTGCTGACCTATTACTCACTTGTTTGAACATTAGTTTCGTAGCATCATAGGTCTGGTTAAAAGTGACTATTTTATGTAAAAGCAAAACTGAGCTAACCACAAGTTTCTGCTCTCTCTCTCTGCAGAGCGTGCTGCTGAATATCCTTGAACTCGTCACAATCAACACAAAATGACCACGCCGCTGTTACCTGGAAGTTCTCTACCACCTAACGCTTCCTTCTCTACCTCACCGGCGTCCATATCCGTTTCCGTGCCGTCCTTCCTGCAGAGCAGCTCCCCATTTGTTACCTCCAACGCCACGCCGCCTAACTGCGGTGGGAACCCCTCCCTCAGTGTGCCACTGGCCGGTTTCTACATGCTGTTCTTTGTTTTAGGGCTCTTGGGGAACCTGTTTGCTCTGTGGGTGTTCCTCTTTGTGCACTCTCGCCATAATTCGGTGCGTGTGTTCCTCATCAACTGCGCTGTGGCAGATCTGGTCCTCCTGGCATGCCTGCCCTTCAGGGTGTTTTATCATCTCAATGGAGACAAATGGGAATTGGGGCAGGTGGCGTGCAAGCTGGTGGGCAATGCCTTCTACATGAATATGTACATGAGCATAACGCTGCTGGGCCTCATCAGCCTGGATCGATACGTGAGGCTGAAGGGGAGAGGACAGGGTAGGCAAACCATATGGAGGAGGCTGCGTGGGCGCGGGCAGCTGTGGGGCTGGGTGGTGTGCGGGAGCGTTTGGAGCATGTTTCTGGTCGGAACGCTAGTCATGATCACAACGAAAGAGGACAAAAAGGACGAGAACCATTGCTTCCAGTACAAGAAACGCCGCAACGTCGCTTGGAAGGCCTACGTTAATGGAGGATTGGTGCTGCTCTTCTGGTTGGTCTTCATTCTACTGGTCATCTCTTACGCCAAAATCGCCTCTCAGTTGCTTCAGTTGTCGCAGAACAGGCCTGAGCTTCCTAACGCACAGAGATACAAGAAAACCGCCAAGAAATCCTTCTTTGTCCTCTTTCTGTTCACGGTCTGCTTTGCACCGTACCATGCCTTCCGCCCTGTATACATCCTATCCCAAATGAGCTCCGAAGACGACTGCAACTACCTAAAGATGGTAGACCGCACCAATGAGATCATGCTCCTGCTGTCCACCTTTAACAGCTGCTTGGATCCAGTCATGTACTTTCTCTTGTCCGGCTCAGTGCGCAGAACCGCTCTCAAAGTTATTGGACATCGGTTCGGCAACCATCTTCCCTTCCTTCAGGAGGGAACATACAACAGCTCCACCATGGAGTACAGACGGCCGTCTGTGCCGCTGGCTTTACACGACCAAGTCCTCAACAATCCTTCACTCACACCCAGAACCAGCTTCTGCATCATTAACACCAACCTTCGCCGTACAGGAACTACACTTACTCCCTCTGGCCACCAGTGATCAAAGCTCATCAGATTGTGTCATGTTAGAACTCTCAAAGCATAACGACACGCTAAAGGCTAGTTGATTCTAAGCCGCTCAAATTTCAAAGAACGTTACAACCTTTACGTCGCTAGTTTTTATTATTAATTATATTGTTTTTCTGTAACAAAAATACTAGAACTCACGTGCATGGTCTTTGCTTTTCAAATGGTAATATTTGTTTGGAAAAACGGATGTTTGAAATTGTATTTTATTTTTATTTTATTTTTTTTGTTCAAATATAAAGTTGTATTCCATTCATTTTTACCTTAAGTATTAAAACAGGATACAAACAAAGGATAAAAAGCTGCAGTTCTCTTATTAAAATTTAAAAAAAAACTTGATCCGGTGTCAGAAAGGAAATACAGACTGTGAGGTTTCTTCAATTCACCGCACTTTGCTGCAGATACAGCATTAGGTTTTTTTTCTGAGGGGGCTTCTACCAGCTTTGCACTTGAGTTTTCCCCAACAGCTCAAGTTCAATCCCACCGGATGGAGATTGTCTGTGCACATCAACTTTTAGGCCTCGTCATACATTCTAAACCGCACTAAAATATTAACTTTGACATATCCCCATATAATAATGCAGCTGCATCCTTGTTTTGCATATGGGTGGTTTTTAGGACAAAAGGTTCAGTTTTGTGGTCTCCTTACTGAACTTTGATGCTATCTCTGCATCTCTAGTTGTGTTTCCATTACAAATGTGCGTAAAACTATTTGCTAATTTCTAAAATGCATATTAAATAAGTCATAGAATTTCATATGAATATGTTTTTTGACACCATAACTCTTAAAAACAGGTAAACAAATACATGGATATAACCACATGAGATATGTTCGTATTTCAGCCACAGCTCTAGTGCTCATCATCAGTAATTATATGTAAAAAGTAGTCTAACGAATCCAAATATAGCACGTCTTCATCCTCAAACAACCTCTAGTCTTCCTCTTCTTCTTTGTCGTTGTAAAAGGCAGTAAGGTCTGCAGATTGTGTCAATCATGTGATGCAAAAAAAAAAAACTGTTTAATGCAACTGAAAAACACCCAATGTGTTAAAACGTGTGCTGTACTTCGTTGGCGCAGGTGTCAAGTAAAGTACAAATACTTTGTTACTATACTTAAGTACACTTTTTAGCTATCTATACTTTACCCCATTACTTTTTTTTCTTCCTACTTCTGATTTCTGCTCATTACATTTTCACACAAGAATCTGTGCTTTCTATTTCTATTTGCATCTGGCTGTTTTTTTTAAAGGGAACTTTATACTTTTATACTTTAAGTAGTTTTTGCAGCACATACTTTTTCACTTTTACTTGAGTAAAGAGGTCAAGTTGATCTTTTAACTTTTACCAGAGTGTTTTTAAACTGCAGTATCTATACTTCTACTTAAGTAACAAATGTGTGTACTTTTGACACCGCTGGTGGTTAACGCGCACAAGTCATGTGCAGATTAGTGTTTCGTCAAGCAAGTTTATTCACGTAATTACAATCTGTACATTTTGATGGTTACTGGAAACGCAGCTTTAGATGATATCAGCCACCTTCAGTTCAGCAGAAACGTCTCAATGTTTTTTTAATTGTAACATTCTCTTCAGTTAACTCCTGAATTATTATAATATGACATCACAAACGTGAACTTTCCCTATTATTTAGGTAAAAGTTAAGGGCAGGCAAAACTTTATTTATCCCAAAAAAGAAAAAGTACAAAACAACTGAAGTTTAAAGTAATATCCTCACTAAATAACTTAAGGTTCATGGGCAATAAAAGCTCTGGAAAGAATATATAGTAGTTTTTTAGACAAACGCTTTAATTATTTACATTTATTTCTAAAATAAAGCTTCTTCCCGGATATCAACTAAATAGACACCCAGCTTGCACTTTTTATTGTCATCATTTCATAGTTGGCAGCAGAGACATTCTAGTTTGACCAAAGTCGGGTGTTTAGAGCTTTACAGGCTAATTTACTCATTAAGATTAACCCAGTGGCTAAATCTCACCTTTACATCTCGATGAATCACATTGTTGTCATGGCAATACCGAAGGGCCTCCAATATCTGCCTCATATAGTGGCTGCAAAGGATGAAAGGAGAAAAGCGAAGCGTGTGGGCGGGGGGCATATTAAGGATAAAAAACACACCTTTTTTTGTAAGTTGCAACAACTTCTTCAATTGCATGTCCTACCTCGCCACAGCTTCACTGTAGACGAATCCAGCATCAGCTCGCTTTACAATTTCGAAACACAGGTCAGCGCCATCCATACTGAGAGAGAAAGAAGGTAATCAACCTTTTTTAAAAATACCTTTTTAAAACCTGATTGGAATAAATTCATGCACACATAAATCTGGAATCCATCTTATAACTAAAATAACTACTAAGAATTAAAGTTGGAGATTAAATGTTAAGTCCCCTGGCCTCTTAAGGCTGTGCAGGCTTGTTTTGTTATGCAGGCTCAGTATTTTTTTTATTGCCTACGAAAAATGCAAAACAGAGGCTTTTAAGATAAGATAAGAGAGACTTAATTGAGATAGACTACTGTTAAAGAAATACACTTGTCATATTGGCTCAATAGTCAAAAGAAGGTGCCAAAAAGGAGGAAAAGGTGCATGGTGGATGTACAGTGTTTTCACATATATATTTATAGATATATGTATAGATAACAGTCAGATTCTTATTCTCAGGGTTATGGCACAGGGTATTAAATAGTGATTGCACATTAGTTATTGCATATGTTATTGCACTTGTAGTGTTGCATTTTAAAGGTTTGCAGGGAACGTCTGGGTCTTGCAACTTGTCTTGTAAGCTGAATTACTCAACCAAAACTACAACCATAAAAAATTAAAAAAGGAAGAATTGCTAAAGTGAGTTATTACAGATTTAAGTTTAAACAATAAAACTGATCAACTTTTATCTGATCCATTTAAAGCAGAGCATATTAGAGGAATCAGTTTGTTTTATTTCAGCCTTTTTTAGAGCTTGGCACATTTTTCTGCAGTATCAAATTTGATAGGGTTAAATCATGAAAGTAAGAAACGAAACTAACAAAAAAGGCAAGTAATTTAATAAAGATATGTGAAGGATAATTTGAGATACATTTTTAACATTCGATGTGTTCTGAATTGTTCTAAAACATTAAAATCCTTTTTTTTTTTTTTTTTAATCAACTGCCACAAATTTGATAAAGCATAATAAAGCATCCAATTTAATCCTAGCTGCAATGCTACACACTTAAGGTTAATGTCTGATGCCAAATTGGCAAAGATTAACCATTTCCATTTCATTATTTATTTTAAAAATATTCTAAAATAGAACGTCTGCCATCATATCTAAATAATCAATTCATAGCCATGCCTATTTGAAAAAATAACCATGTGCTTATAAAGGGTGTCTTTCTCGTGGTTTGTCACTAGCTTTATGATGCACACAGTGTACAGCCTGCTTTATAAAGAGGAAATGAAAAACACCAAACATTCTGCATTCAGCTGATAAACTTAAATTTAGACTCTTTGCTGGTTTTGCTTCTGCGCTAAGTGTTACATGTACAGTTGCACTAAAATAAATAATATCTTCAATATGATACGGGGATCAGCCGCTGCGCTCTGTTAGAGCTCCGCATTTAGAACCAAGACGTACAATTCAAAGACCATGTAGAGCATGCCATCAGAGCTGTAGGTCTCCAGCAGCTCCACGATGTGGGGGTGTTTGAGCATGTGACAGATGCTGGCCTCTCGCTTCAGATCTGGAAGAGAGAAATTTTAATTTGGTTGTGAATAAAGACAATTTGTACTTAACTTTAGTACATAAACATGTTTTTCCCCCTTAAACTAAATTACAGATTATTGGTAGTGCACTCCCTGCTATTTATTTTTTATTTCAAACCACAGAAGGTCTGCCTCCCCTCTGTGTCACCACCAGAGGGGGATAAACGTTTCATTTAGTGAACAGCTTATCCATGGTAACAGCATGCACTGCTTCACAGACGATGAATAAGCTGACAGGACAAGAAGCAGCAGAAGCACCAAATTGGGATTGCACATCTGGTTCGTCTTCATCAACATCACCTCCTCTCATTGCTGCCGATTCACCAGATCATGACCGTTTCACCGTTTATTTAAAGTCTGGTGGAAGGTCCTCCCCCCTTCAAACGGAGGTGAAGGTGGTTATGAATTTTAAACGGGCTCAAACAAACGCCGCAAATCGGCTCCAGCAGATTGAAACTGCAGTGGCAATGAGACAATGTGCTTTTGTTGAGTTTCTCAGTCCATAAAAACCTCATTTACACACTCCACTTCCTGTCTGCACGACTACTGATCTTTCCGTCGTGACAGTGCAAGGGACATTACGTAACAGAGAGATGAAACCCCCGCCTCTCAGACCACAACAGAGCCCCCATTCTCCTCCCCTTACACTCATCCTTTCTCTTCTCGTTAGTTATTCGTTCTGGAGTGTAACAATGCTGCCTAACGTCCACGCCGGCCTGAAACACTCTGAGAGACACTGATGCCGTCCTCTGGGCTGATTCCAAATCACTTCTTCCACGGGTGGTTCAGCCAGACTTTGCTGGCTCTGGGAGAATGAACTTCGAAGTGAACATTACAGAACAATCTGGCCATTCTGGCTTCGAGGAATACAGATAAAATAACGGATCTAGGTTATTTTTCTATAATAAAAAACAAACCCAAAGATGGGAACATTATAAAGCACAAGTTTTCCTTTGAAAATGCATTAAATTAAATCTATGAAAACATATTTCTTTATAATCAATATAATTTTTTCCATTCCTATTAGGACTGAATAAAGTAAAAAAAACAAACAGCAGAGGAATTTTAACATTTCACTTTAGTACTAATGTGTGCTACTTGTTACTCAGTGCTTGAGCTTTCTTCATATCAGTGTCTGTGATTCACTGAGGGATGAAATTAGCCCCCAGCACACCCATAGCAGCGTAGGCTCTAAAAGATACATCAGGCTCACAGCACCTTTGGTAAAGTACTTCAAAACTCCATAAAATACACCAAAAGTTAATTTAGCTTAAGTTATAGTCCAATTATCCTGCAGGTTTGGATGTTACTCATAATAAGGACACTCTAGACTGGATCAAACATGGCTGAAAAGAGTGAAATAAGAATTATTTTCTATAGGAAGGTGCTGGGAAAAAGTGTAAATATATCATCTTTTTCTCTTTCACCTCA